TGATTAAATCTTGATATCTTTTGGGTATTCTTTTTATAACCTTAGTTTATACTATCAAACAATAACAATTGAGATGTTTGTGTGTCAGTGGTTTTCCATTTAACTGTATGTATTCTCAGCAATGTCCAACTTCAACAATGTAATGAATGTCTCTTCATGCTCTTCACCTCCAGTTAACTAAATTATCAAATAAAGCCAAAATATAATTAATAAAATTACTTAATTTTTAATTTAGCTCCTCTACTTCTGTATTTAAATTGTTCTTTTAAATTCCACACAGTCCTAGCCATTATGACTCAGTGCGATGGGGGAAACAGCAGTCTGTACTCTAAGTCATAGTAAATAATGAAGCAAATGCCTGAAGCTTGAACAGAACTTGCACTAAATTCACTTTTCACTCTCCCGTCTGGACCTGTATTATAAACAGCTCACAGTTGTGTTGTTTGAAATCAAGGACACAGAAGGCTTTTGAAATTAGAGGAGAGGCCACTATTAGTTCTCCTTTAGGGAAAATTGATGGGCAGAAAATCCACACACAATCATGGATGACAAAAACAAAAATATAAAGTAGTAATGATTCATACATTTTTAAACATTAGACAAAAACATTGGAAATTACAGTATATAAAATGTTTCATTATCATTGATGTTATAAAACTGTGCAGGGTTTAGTTTTAGTTTAATCTTAAGTTGAGGGACCAATATACAGAGACATTAAGCACATAAAAACTGAAATGTTCTGTCCCATGTCCCAGATATGGCTAGTTTTCATTTTTATGGGACTAAATTAGACAATATAATCACATCTAGTGAAATATAAAAACTATCCACAAATTCCACTGCATCACCTATACACACTCACACAACATCATACTGCACACTACAACCACATAAAAAGGAGTCCCGTATTATGTGTCAGTAGTCTGAAGTAGGCTACCATGATATTGATTGAAACATGTAAGTATAAATAAAAAACAGACATTATATTGATAATATATTCTGTCTACTGCTGGTGATTTAGCTATGTCATAATCCATAGAAAAGCAAAGCTCTGAACATAAATTGAATGTGTGCTCTGTGCCATGGCTAAATTTGAGGTTAATTCTTTGTTTATTATGAACACACTCGGTCTGAGTTGGGCTTGTCCTGCTCTGGCTGTGAGTGAGGGGGGAGTTTGTTTGGGGGTGGAGAGGCAGCCCGTCCATCACTTTGGCACTGTTGACAACCATTCAGGTCCAACTATCAAAGGGCTGTTCACTGAGGGGAGCCTGCACCAGTTTAAGGTTATTTTAGCTGTGTAATAAAAAAGAAAAATAAATAACAAAATAACAAATATGTGAATATGCACATGTCTGGTGTCAGTTGATTAGATCAAGAAAACTGTAAAAAGTGGTGACTGAGAAATGTTTGTTTTTTGTGAGAGTGATAATGTTATATCTTGTGATTTTTCTGCACTATGTTGGCAGCTGCTTTGGCCTGGTCTCTCTTGCAAAAGAGATTCTGAATCTCAATCGGACATCCTGAAGATAAAATAAATACAAAATTAATTAAATCCATGAGCAAAATATGATTCATTCCAGTTTTTATTTTTATATTTTGAGATCTCTTTCTCTCTCTTTAGATCTTTCTCTTCCCAAACAGGCTAAACTCACCAGAGTATAAAGTCTAACTGTCGTAATACTTTAGTCTCCACTCCTAACTCAGGCCAGAGGAACTGCACGGACTACACTGTTACATAACCACAGAGGCTCTCTCATCAATCAATTATTCATCCCCATCCCACAACACTGCGAATCATGGCTTTGATTATGACAGACAGTTGACAAGGCAGCACAGCAGTAAACGGAGAAGAGAAATCACACGGCCGTCCTGTGTGTCTTTGGTCGCTTTGTTGTGTGAGAGCTGAGTACACTGTGAAGTGATTTTTGTGTGTGAATGTGTGTGTATACTTGCACTTTTTGCATGGAACTGTCATCCCACAGCATGATTTTACATGCTGTAATTTTACTTCTCCTTGAGTCATATTATTAGCATACAAGAGTGTGTGTGTATATGTATATGTATATGTATATGTATATGTATATATGTGTATATATATATATATATATATATATATATATATATATATATATATATATATATATATATACATACTGGTATTTCCACAAAATATACACATGAAGTACCAAACTTATCTTGATTACGTCAGCGCTCAAAGACAAGCACTCAATCACCTTACTTTTGAATGCACCAGCAGATGCAGTCCTATCGCCCTCTGCTGGCCAATTTTTATATAATTTTAGATAATTTTATTTAGATAATATTAGGTTATTAGGTAATTAAATTATATTAGACTGCTTGTATTAGCTTATATACCTTAAAGATTGCTAAAAGACCTGATAAAATATACGTGTATGCATTTCAAACAATTAGAGTATTTTTCTGAGCTTTTGTTCATTTCAGTCCTTTGCTATTGCCAAAATAGTGTCTGATTATTATTATTCTAAAAATAGTAAGATATTTACAGCACAAGCCCATACTATTTTATTTATCTTTATAGCTTCAGACAGAGATGTGAACTATTAATTATTCAGTCATAACAAATGGTTACTTTCTCTGTTTAATCCACATAAAATATAATGGTGTAAGCACAACATTATGCCCTGCTCTACATTGTTTAATTAAGGCTCATAATAAAATAATGAGATTGCTGTATAACAATATGCTCATAATAAAATAAGTAACCATGGGGAGAACAAAGCTATTCCCTGGTACATTTTACTATTATGAGTACACATGAATATTTATACCACTTACCAGTACATCTGCATTATGAAAAATAAAGCACCCAGCTCTTTTAATGGCACATGTAGTAGAGGAGGCTGAACTGCAACTGAACTTGCTCATGTTTTGAGCATATATATATATATATATATATATATATATATATATATATATATATATATATATATATATATAATAAATCTGTCTATATATCTATAGGTTGCCTGTATGTACTGGAAAATAAAAGCAAAATAAACACACACAACTCTTGACAATTCATGACTACAGACATGTACTGGACCTGACTGTTTCTGCCCTTATCTCACACACAGACACACACACAACCTGCAGTAATGTGTTGTATCAAAGTGAATGGCAGATAGGATCATGGGATAGAGGGGGGCAGAGAGAGAGAGAGAGAGAGAGAGAGAGAGAGAGAGAGAGAGACAGAGAGAGAGAGGGCAATAGACAAATGGAAAGAGAGAGGGTAAGAGAGAAAGCAAGAGAGAGACAGAGAGAAGGAAAGAATAAGAGCGAGAGAATAGAGAGGAGCAGATGAAAGCCATGAGTCCTCCTCCCTGCACATTGCTCGCCCTGATATCAGCCCTGAAGAGAGCCAGCCCTGTGCAGACCCATGTTAAATTATAGATTAAGGCCTGGCTCTGGCTCTGGCACAGTCAGACAGTGTGCACTGTGGTACTGCTGCTGTTGCCTCACCTCTGCTGCTTTATTATAACCAACATCAAACACTGCGCTCATTTCAAAGGGACACTGTCGTGAATATGTAAACAGTCAGTTTTGTAGCAATGTCTTGTGGACGCCTTTTTACAACAATAAAATATTTACGTATTCAGTTAGTTAGTTCGTTAGTTGGCTGGTGTAAGATGTCAACACAACAAAGAGACAATATTTGATTTCCATGCCAAAAGCATTTTATTCCCAAAACATAAAGCTCTTTTTTTTTTTTTTTTGAAACATATTTATAGTCCATATATCTTATAAATAGCAAAGAGAAATGCCAATTGTGCTTTTTCCATAATCATAATGTCTGAAAAATTATAGATTTGTAGTTTCAGTAAATATCTGTCACCAAAATAGATTTTTTTATACGCTTATGCAGCAACAAGGAAATCCTTAACTCACAAAATATATTTTCATGCAAGGCAAATCTCATATGGCTTTCAAGGCGTCTCTGTCCAAAATCTACAATAAAACAACCCATGCATTTAAACAGTAAACAGACACAGCATGCTGCTGGAGCAAAGAGAAGATGATGAACCATTTTGTTAACATCAGATTTTAAAGGATTCTACTCTGATTAACCACTGTGCTCATAAATATGTACTATAGTTCTCCTGAGAAAACATTGTGCACCTTTGTAATGTTCTCTTACTCAAAGACAGTAAACACTCAAATGTGACGTTCAAAACACATGTAATTTTGCATACTGATCTTATTCCTGAGGGCTTACTGTAATACTTGTAATTAAACATGTTAATAAAACAATAAAGGTAAATCTATAATAAAAAAGAATGCAAAAGCATTCGCTCAAGTAGGTGAGAAAGATATGGCATTACAACAAGCAAGGGATCACAAAATAATAAATATTAGTTTTACACTTAAACATCAAGATTTCTGTAAATACAAAAAGTACATGCAGTACAAGTCTCAGTATTACTCAGTAAACATAATACATTTTCATGCAGCAAAAGTTCAAGATGAGATGTCTGCTGAGACATTCAGGAACAAAATACATTCACAGTGGCTGCTGATCACAGTGACTCCTGCAGTTTTAAAGGCAACAATGCATGTGTGTTTTTAAGCAGCTCTCATTATAAAACTTGGCCGTCTTTGGTTTGAGTTCATATATTCTTCCTAATCTTTTTTTCATCGGCTGGGGTCAGAATTTGGTATAAAAAATAATAACTCAAGTGGGAGTAAAAGTATGGTGTCTTAAAACGACTGAAACAAGTACATTTTTCTAAAAAATCACTCAAATAAATGTATTTGAGTAAATGTAACTTTGTACTACCCACCTCTGGAAAGGACATGCTCCGCTCCTGAGTTGACACAGTGGCACATGGGAGAAGCAAAGCCTAAAACCTTAAATGATTGCAGTAGCTTGTCCCTGTATCTCATTTGGGAAGACGAGCTACAAGATGATCACCAGATATTTAAACTATCTATTCCTCATATCTGCACAGTTGAGGTTTAAATCAGGATTTGACCAGATCTTTACTCTCTTTGGCTTCAGTTGATGAGACATCTTCACTGGTCACTTGACTTTCACCTTTTTCTGTGATCTGATTGGACACTGAGGCTTGGCGTGCTTGGCGGTAGGATGAACACAGCTCCTCCCACTTCTTCCTGTTGGAGTCTATTCCATCAGCCATTGGCTGCAGTTTCCTGTTCAGTTTCAGCAGTGCCTGAAGACAAAGAGAACTTCATACTTAATTCATAATGAACAAATAGTTTATTAAGAATGATTCAGGCTTAGTAACTACTTAATTAAAGAGTTTGAGTTGGGAGTTAGGGTATAAAGTAGTTACTAATCCTGAACTATTTGTTTATTATTAATGAAGGCGAGACACTACAGGCAAAATTCATTCTTTTTATTGTTTTGTTTTTTGGTCATTTTGGTCTCTGCATCTAAACTTTCACATAAAAAATTATCAACTCTGCACTGGAAGATGTTTTAATACTTAATTTAAACAACAAGATTTTGAATGATGGTACAGGAGGATTTTTTGATGTCTAATTCCACATCTGATTTATTAACTCAAAAAAAGAAAAAAGAAAAAAAAAGAGAAACAGAATTTGAATTTCTACACAAATTTTCAGATTGTTTACTCAAATACTAAATAAGATATCCTAAATCCCTTCAGTTTTTTAGTATCTAATATGACAACAAAAAGAAAAAAGAAATTTAAACCTGCTTTTTCCATGTTTCTGTTTTGAATGTCCCAAAAACTTCAACATTTTTGCAGTTTTAACACATAAAATGCCTTATTTTCATATAAACATAACATGATAAAAAATTTGTAATACATTTTTTTCTTACATTTATGTAAGTAATCTACAGAAAAAGCTTCAAATTGAATTTAAGATGTTTATGTATTCAACTGCAGTGTAACTCCTTTATTAGAACTAACTAAAGTGTTACCAATAAGTGATTAATAACACATTTGAGTTATTGACAATAGTTTGTCATATTGTCACCTGGTATAGTGGTTTACAGATCCCATCTATCCATTCCAGCTGCAGCACTGGTAGTTCATCTTTGCGGTTGCGATCAAATATTGCCTACAGAAAAAGAAAAGGTCATTTGAGTTTCAATGTCCATATCTGCATCAAAGATACATATAAAAAAAATTATACAAGTGTGGGCGCCTTACCGCAGGGGTCAGCTTTAGCTCCGATCGCTCTCTATCACCTTGCTCGAAGAACTCACTTGTGACCAGTTCTGCAACCTAAACAATACTTTGGTTAAGAGTTGCCTCAAACAAACAGAATTTCAATACTGAGAACAAAATGAGCATGCCTTATATTAGTTACTGCCAAATACAAAGTGCTGTCACAGAACAAGTAAACAGGATGAAATAAAAAAGCACACTGAACATTAATCGGTTGTCTCTTCTAGCTTATTAAATCTGGTGCATAATAAATGATGATTTAATTATGACAGGAAACTGCTGCCTATTACCACATGTGCAACAGAGGAGAAAGCCCTAAGATAATGAAGGACAAATATCCTGTAACACTGAGTAACAAACTCAAGTCTTTTGGTGCAACAAACATCAAACATGACAGACAGAGCAGTGAGAGGGTCAAACCTGTTTGGATACCTTCCACGGCCGAGTGACAGCGCCCAGGTCACACGCTGTCATCAGCATGGATCTGTGAAGGACAACATAGCTTCACATTTGGTTTTATATTATTTGTGGTGACAATTAACATCTAACTAACAATAACTGGCATGCTAAAGCACAGTTCCTGATTATTGATTATATGAATAAGTAGATGTGGACAGCACACAGCGGACATATTTTTACCACAAGAGCTACTAATCTGTAGTGTGGCAGATCAATACATCTTTAAATAAATGGAAAATAGATGGGAAATGGAATCGATTACAGGACCTTTAATTTTCAATAAGTATTAAGAAGTAAATACTATATTTCTTATGGTATTAGCCCTTGAGACCACTATTATTACCAAAAACATATTAGGATCATAATTCACGTACCAATATGCCCTGACATTGGTAATAATGATTTTATTATTAGTAAAGTCTAGAAAAGCAAATGTCTAACTGCAGAATAAGGTTATGCAGAATAAGACACAGATTTGGCAGAATATATACAAATTAATTAGATTTAATAGATTTTAATAAGATTACCGTAAAACAAAGTTCTACCTACTTAAATTAAAAATATGTTAAATATTTAGCACAGTACCTAAGGACCTCTCTGTGGCCCTCATCTGTCCAGCTGAAGTCACCAGAGAGAACATGCTCAAAAAATTTGGTCCTGCGTCTGTAAAAATCAGAGACAAAGACATTTGAGTAGGCAACAGGATTAAACTCATTATTCAAGTGTAACTATGACAACAAAACAGGAGACCAAATACAACTACTTTTGGAACTATTATTGTATGTAATTTTATATTATACTGTTTTAAGACAGCTGGCAATGCCGTACAAATCATTTTGTTTAGAATAAGGACAAAACTCTTACTCAAAGTGAAGCGTGAGGTCCGTGGACAGAATAGCCTGCTTCAATAGTTGCATCATGTTGCTGTATTCTTTAGAGCAGAGGTTTGCAAAGATATTGTGGCCCTGGAAAAAAAGCAATACAGTGAATTAATTTGCCAGTGGAAACAGTGACCAGATAACTATATGAAGCTGTGCATTGGTAAACCATTCTTCACTGTCAAACACTGTGCCTATTAGCATGATAATTAGCTATGGCCTCTGTCCTTTGGTATTAGAAATCAATGTAGAGGACAGGTCCCTGTGATCAAACTAATCTGGGCTTAAACTGGACTGAAAAGTCAACTGTGGCCAATAGTCACATTGACTATAGCACTGCCCACTCAAACTGAATCGTTGAACCCAACAGCTGTGGCTCTAGTTCAAACCTCTGTTGTGTCCTTCGGCAAGAAACACCAACTAGTTTGCCTATGTGTAAATGTGTACAATGTGTAATGCATAATATAAAAGTGTGTGAATGTTGTTGGTGGTCAGAGGGGCTCATGGTGCAATTTGGCAGCCTCAATTCTGACACTGTACTCCAGGGCAGCTGTGGCACTACCAAATGTAGAATGTATAAATTATTCACTAAATTGTGAAACTACTTTGAGCATTATTATACCATTGTCATATACCACGATGTGCAGTGGAGTTGTTTAATTCTTATTTATGACCATTATCATATATATAAAGGAATTGCATTAAAATAAACAGTTTGTACCTCACTTTGTAGGATCATAACAGCATGGTTGAAGTGGTGATGTTCTAAAGTGGCAGACGTTCCATATAACAGAGCCAGAGCAGAGCCAGTCCTGTAAAAAAAAAAAAAAACATTCTTCTGAATATTGAATAAAATATGCTGCATTTGCACACACACAAATGTTAGTTTTCTATGTTTTTTGTTGGTGACATTAAATTTTTTAATCATTGTCATTATTACTAATCTTAACCTAAACCCAAATTTTACTTTATTTTAAACCCATATCTGAACTTTAAACCATCTTGTTGATCTACTAATAAAAGATTTATGTTACAGGGAATGGAATTTGTCCCCATTAAGGAGGAAGGTGAATTATGCATGTTGCAAATTCCTGTCAACCACATCAAAACTGAGAAACTGTGACTAAACCTGGAAATAACTGGACTAGACTGGACTAGACCAAAATGGAATAATAAAAAAAGTCTGCCTCAGAGCTATGCAGAGATCAAACCAGGATTAAACCAGGTTAAAGTGTGAACAAATCATTAATGAGCTCTTTAAATAATGATCTGACTTTATGCTGATTTTTGGCTTGTTTTTCTGAGCATATTTGGGTTTAGTGCAATGAGAGAAATTACTTGGCTTGAAATGCATTGTTTGTGCCTCTGTGGTCCAAATCATGACACAAACATCCGACCATTAGTGCCAGGATTTCTGCTTCAGTCAAGGCGTCCTGGAAACTGGCCGTCTGTGGAGGGGCATTAAGATAGTCATTAGTCATAACAATATTAACAATAAGACCAAGTGTAATCCTTCATTAATTATCTATTTACAAAAGCAACACAAGCTTTAATTAAGGGTGGATTCGTTACATTTCCATACATTTACAAAACGGAGCGCAGTTGGAGAAGGATGAAAGTGAATGACACTGGCAGATGTTGCAAGAGTCCCTAGCCCCTATAGCATACCGTACAGTACATCTGTCATATCCGGGGCTGTTTAACCAAGTCAGATTGTGTCCTTATTAAGTATTTCTTCTCATCTATAAAAAGGAAATGTAAATAGTTTTTTTCAGTCTTACCGTAATCATAAGAAACATGCACTGGGACACATTGAAAGCATGTCTCCAATTGTGATAGGCCACTGTGCGATAGTTCTTCCTCACTGTCAGAAGCCAGCGGCATAAAACCTTTAAGACAGAGACATACATTCACAAATTTGTAAATATTAAAGTTCCATTGGGTAACTTTTCCAGTGGAGGAATGGAGATGCTATTGCGTTGCCTGAAATGTTCAACAGTATGGCATTAACCTAAATCCACCTTACATTTATTAAATTACAAGTGCTTTTATTGGTAAAAGATACCTTGAAAAATATGCACATCATTAACTGGAAAATAAATAAGATACACTACAAGACACATAGAAAATCTTTAAATTTTAGTTGAGGAACAGGAACTAGCAGAAAGTGAAATATTTTAAATGGGGGAGTGTTTTGGAGTGTTTTAACACATTTTAGTTCTATAGTGCTACTTGGTGTTTTCGTATTTCCAGATACTGCTATATTTTACGAGGTTGTGCAACAATGTGATTTCCCTATTGAGAGACAATTAAAGAGATAAGGTTTCTTGTCTTATTTTAAATGTGCATTAACCAGTCACCAGGTTTCTCACCTCATAATCTATTTTAAACTTCTGAACGACTCCGAGTTCCAGAAACATCCGTAGTGACGCTGTAATCATGGCGTCATTGTCCAAAGAGAAATCGTTGAAGTGAAACTCGTCAATGCCCAGCTCACTGCTCAGGGGGATCTTAGCCGCCTTCAGGGAAAAAGGACACAACTGGCAATCACAGCACAGCTCCGAGAAAAAACAAACACACAACTCAAACTGTCAGCATGAACATGTGAAACACCGTAATGAATACTTCGAGGGCCCATATCACGCAATTTTCTGATCCCTGTTATAATGCTGTTTCCTCATCACAGACATACCTGGAGTTGTGTTTTGTTTCATTCACAGCTGCATATTTAGGTTGAGTTCTTCTCTCAAATGAAAAACACTCTGTTTGACCTTGGGATGTCATGTGGTAATACCAGAACTGCTCCACCATGTTTTTAAGCTCCATACACCCTCACTAGAATCATTTGGATGATTTCAGCCCTAGAATTCCCAATCTCTACTGAACAAAAGGTAAAAGGAAGCTGTTAACTTGAACCTTTCTGGTTGGGGGTCTAGATGTCATTACTTTTCCTAGAATATTCCACATGTAGGCATTGTTTTATTGCTCCAAAATACACTGAAAAATATTCTGGATGGACTTCCCTCACCACAGATCTGACCTGTAACTTGGAGACATTTAAAGCCATACAGTGGAACATTCCTGGCAAAGCAATAATTCATCGAATCTCAATGGAAATAAGCAGATGGCAGACCCATCAGAAGAAGAAGTAGCATAGTGCACTTTAAGATTAGAGTAAAGGTAAAAGATGTTTCTGAAGAAAAAAAAACACCATTTGACTATTGACCATTTCAAACTAAATATTCCATCAGAAAGCTGAAATAAAAAGCCCATAAAAAGTAAGTTTTCTTTACCTTGAGTCTATCCACTTCTACCTTAGAGCAAGTTGCATGATAAGACAACATCTGAAAACACAACACACATGTACACAATGACGCACATGAAATCAGAGCACAGTGCCATTATTGTCCATTAAATACACCACAAGATTAAAGCAAGTACATTTGAAACCAATTTGTCCTAACAGTTTGGTTTCATTGCAACAGGATCTTGAGCAATGGCACAGACAGAGAAATGTGTGTTGTCTTTGATGTGCTTGGAGCAGGCTGACACTCTTCGTCATTATGAATTATTAAAAATGTCTAAAATATTTATTCTACCGGAGCAGAAACATGTTTACTGGGGATAAAGTGAGTGTTCAAGTTTGATAGTGGGCAGTGGAGCTGAAACACTAATTAATGTGTAAAGTAAATTAATTAAAGTCATTCCGTTAAGTCATTAAATCATTAACATGCTGATCTTTTGTGCTTACATCTAGTGCAACAGACTGTTTGGCCCATGTTTTCTTCACTTGGTTGTACATCATTGTGTTATTGATCCCAAGCCCGCAAAATATAACAAATGCCTGTGTACAGACAAAAATATAAGAAGAATATTAGGTTAAAGAAAATCAGTTTTTTGTTGTGAATAGACTGAAAGAATGTGACCTCAAATAGCCTCTGGTCTGCGTCGTTGAAAGTCTTCCTGTCCAAGCGATTGAGGATCTGTGCAACTCCTTCAGTCACATGTGGACAGGGTTACAAAAATACAACCTTTTCAGACAGAGTGAATTATATGTTTAGGCCCAACTTACCAATGATCTGATGAGTGCGATTCCAGATGGGAACACACAGCACAGAGCGGATGTGAAAGCCAGAGGCCTGGTCTGCCTGAGTAAAGAAGGGGTAAAGGTCAGCGTCAAACTGTGTTTCAATGTACTAAGCATTTTATTCATATTCATATCTGCTACTAATATAACAACTAGAAGATTAAAAATGATTTAACAAGGAAAATAATCAGGATTGTGAAGAACCACGTACTTCATTAATAGAGTCAAAAAGAAAAAGAAAATCATAGAAAGCATTTGAAATTTTAAAAAGTTATTGTGTAAAGCTAACAACTGTAATGGACAAATAATAAAACAAAACCCCTTTAGACTTGTTTTACCTCAGCGTCGAAGCGTGGGTCCTGACACACGTCGCTGATGTTCACAGGCAGTCCTGTGGAGGCCACCAACTCAGCAATACTGTTATTGATCAGCCAATCAGAGCAAGAGAGTTTCTCCATGCTGATGTGGGCCGTGCCACGGACAGGACAGAATATCAATTGTTAATTTAAATGTCAGGTGGGCAACTAAAGGTGGAAATGCATAATATTATATGATTTGTATTGAAGGAATTACCTGATATCGCGATCAATATTGCACAATGGTGACATGAGCTCAAAGGTCTTTGAAAACTTCACAACCTGCAAGTAAACATAAAATGAATTTTGTATCTAATATTCAATATTCAAATGTTACTGTTAGAATAATAAACTCAAGGTAAAAGCCTCACAGGTGAGTCTATGTCCTCCAGGAGCAGCACTGAGCAGCGCTCACACTGCAGCAGAGTAAGAGCTCGCTGCATAATCTTCCTCACAATTTTCTCCAAATCTGTTTGCTCCTCAAACAGGTCATTGACCACCTCAAGCAGAGCCTGTGGCACAGAGGGCAGGACCACTGTGCAGTAATACAGATCTGTGACTGAACTGTGAGAACTAATGCGTTCACTTACCCTGCTGCGCTCATACTCTTTACGAGACTCAGAGAACAGTTTGGCATTTGAAATGGAAATACCACAAAAAGGCAAATACATCTGCAGCACCTACAAACAGCACCAAAAACAGCTATCAGTACATTCAGATAACTACTGTGTATAGATAAACCACAGTAAATGGCATAGTCAAAAGTTTCAAAATAATTTTATTCTACCATTTTGTGGATATCTGGTCTCATCTCAAACAAAGGGATAAAAAAAAGAACATTCATAAATTTTTCATAGTATTTAAATTAAGTTAGGACATCATACCTTTCCGCAAAGTCATTGTCATTAAGAAGAATATTGTATTTAAATTCATTCATTCAACCATAAATCGTGGTTATGATATTGATACCATTTCCGTTTTAGGCATCAAAAATTTTTAAAAGTGTCTTCTAATTATCAGTAAAATTACATTATCTTCTCTGTTTGAATATAGCAGTTTCCCTCCTATATCTGTGGCAATGTGGCACTGTGGAACCCTTTGTTTTTGTAGTAATACCATGAGCGTATTAAATTATACACACATGTGTATTGTATTGTGAGGGTCATATTGAACAATCTGATATTATATTGAGTATTGCTGCATCCCTAGTGTGAAGCGGTTGTATTAAATTGCACAAATGGAAATGTTTACAGTAAACAGGACAGTTGGGTTAGCTCAACCTCGCCTCTTATTTCTGTGGAGTGTTGCTTCCTTGGGGAGCACTTTGCCTTTTCCTACACCCATTAAAATGATTCAAAGTACAAAGTACAGTTGTACTGCCAGCTTCCCTGGACTTAGTTTGACTGCACTTGTGCATGGGAAAAGTGAATCCAATTTCAAGCCTGCTCTGTGGATGTACCTAATGGTCAAAGATGCAACAATAATACTGCACACAAGCAATAAAGTACAGCTGTGTCTGATATGAGGATAGTGAAGCTCACCTTTTCATCATCCTCTGTGAAGGGGGTTCCAATGGGATTTTTATTGATGGCCTGGACCACCCCAATGACTTCTCCATCACTGTTGCAAATGGCCATGCAAAGAATAGACTGAGTTTTGTAGCCTGTCAACTTATCGATCTCATCACTGAAGCGGTGATCCTGCAAAAGTATCAATGTACATTTAATGTACACTGTAATGGGAAGAATACTTTGAAAATGTATTTACTTACAGAATACAGACTACCTGCATTAAAAGGTATTTTGTAACTTGTAGTTTTGTAACTGTATATATATGGTCCAATCAGAGAACTGTTTTCTGAACACTTACAGTTGCATTTAAATTATAGAGTAAAAAAAACAGAATTAAAACAGGTTAATACTGTATTTGCTTCACCATTTGTTATGCATTTCCTGTCACTAATTGTAGAAGGAAAAATCACACATGCAAACTAAATAGACTTTTAAACTGAAGTCTTCAGTTACCATATTTCAACCTTTTCAACCACTCTGGATGTTTATTATAGTCTGTTTAGTTTATATAAATTGTGTATGGTAAATTTTTCTATATGGTTGTTTTTGTTTGTCAGATTGTGAATATGATCGTCTGAATTAAACTTCAAAAACTAACAATAACATAAATAAAAGCTACAATAACTGCTGACAGTCGACTACTAAAATAATCATATTTCATTGTTGAAATGGGCATTGCTGCTGTATAGTTCTGCTGTATATGTGTGTTTTTAAGTGTATAAACTGCACACTGTACCCCCCATTGCTGACACACATCCCAGTGCTGTAGCAGACCTCGAGGGACTAGCACCATCACGTTTCCTCCTCAGCAGCCCAGAGCCACAAGATAATGATGTACAGTACAGTGTATAAGAGGAGATATACGTAGCTGGTAGGGAGCAGGATTATAATAATTGCTTTCTTCTCTAACCTCACTGGGAGATGTTAATGGGGGCATGTGATTTATTTACAGACCTTTGGAGGTTGTTCATTAAAGAGTTCGATATTGGCCCATGGAAAAGAGCTTATTATTCACGTCAAAATTTTGTCTGAATTGAAATGTACATACAGCTAGAGAAGAATTTGTAGACCTAACTAGCAGTTTTCACAAGCTTGGCTTGACTTCTCTGTGTCGCCCACACTTGGTGGAGGTAAACTGCTCCTGTAAAACTGTCCTGGGGCAAGAATTGGAATTGTGGCTGCTAATCTGCACCAGTGACCTCCCTGTTTCTTCAACACTTGTCTCTAACACAGTCAAGATGGATGAAGTGTCTTGCCCAAAGACAAAGTGGCAGATACCAAAATCTACAAACCAGGTCCAGATGCTGTCATAGAATTTTTACTAAATTAACTTAAAATAAACTTTTGCCAAACCAGGAATGTGCTTTACCTCATATGCGTTTGGGATGTTCACAGTTTCCCCATGTTCTGCTACGTATCCAATTATACCCTTGCCCCATGCCACCTGCACCTCGCTTGAGTCCAAAGTGCTTGATGAGGGACGGACGGTGGTCCCAGAATGAACGTCAAAAAACTTGGACACCAGCGTCCTTTTGTGCGGGGGTCCTTCGACCAGAAAGAGCGAGCACCGGTCAGCGTCCACGAGAATACAAACGTTGATGAGGATTTTGTAGCTGAGATTGGTCAGGTCTAGGTCGTTGGAGATGTCTTTCACGAGCTCCAAGAAAAACTCCCGCTCGTTAGTCTCCTTCAGTCTGTACTTGTAGTCGATAGCGCTGGATGCGTACTGGGGTACGTTGACCCTGGACTCGAGCAGCGCGCTCAGGATGTGAGCGGTGGTCGGAGGCAGGGAGCTGGCTTTGCGAAGAAGCGCGCGGCGCCTCATGCTTGACTGTGACTCGTGCTCACTCAGGCTCACGTGCTCGTCGTAGGTCCGGTGCGCGGTTGTGGCTTTGGAGCGTGCAAAGTTTCTCCGCAGCTCCATGTGGGACGACCTGCGCCGTAGCCCGTCCGGGTTGGTGGACCACAGCGGGTCTCGGAGAGGACCGCGTTTGTCATCGGCTGAAGAGGCTTTGGTGGACTGAGGGTGCTCCTTCAGCCAGCGGCTCACCTGTTCGCATTTTGCTTTACGCACCAAATACTCCTCAAACAGATCCGGGTGCATGTCCAGAAACGCCTCGATGTCGGAAAAGTCAAACGTTGTCATAGCGAAAGTAGCAGTTTCATAGAGTAAAAATAAGGAAAAATATATATTTTTACATTTACCAATATCCTCAAAGCACGTGTTTCTCCATCCTTCTCTGTGGGTATTTCATCGGCCTTTGCCTGTGCGCGTTTGCAAAGACGGACTTTATTGAGAGCGTAGTGATGACGCTACAGCTGTCAGTCAAGGCGATATTGAGCTGCGTCTCCTGGGCTTTCACTGAGTACTATAGAGAGAGAGGTGTGGAAAACACAGCGCCTATATCACTGAGAAAGAAAACCGTGCAGAACTGCGGGGCAGGCTGTGCACTTTCTCTCTTTATTCTGTGCCACCAGAGACACTCGGTGCAAGGCTCCAATCAAAGGCGAATACATAAGTGAACCTCACATTTACATTGAAAGCGAGCTGCTGCTTCCATATGGATTCATGAATGCACTTTAGTGTGTAACTTACACATGCCATAACTTGTCACTGTTGCAAAAATAACATTTAGAATATTTACAAAAATTGAAACTGATACAGAACAAACAATGTATTGAACGCGATGAGAAAAAGAGAAGTTGGGTCACGGTTATGAGAAAATAAAGTCTGGTATACTTCTCTATTCCAGCACACATTATCACTTCCAATGTCCTTCGATAGCGACTGCCAAGCTTATAGTGGCCGCAGTCTTTGTTCTATTGACAGAAGTGAAAACAAGTATGCTTTGTCAGTTAGCATACATTACTCTGAATGTATGGCCTTGAGGTTGTAAAGTTACAATGCCTCCCCCACCTCGTCCTCCTCCCTCGCACACACCCACACACTACACCGGCTCCACAGCTCAATGGCGAATTAAATGAAATATTTTCTGCACCGCATCCTTTGAGGTGGTTCAAAGGTTCATATTTTTTGGCTTCTTTCATTCACCACTCACAAACTGTAAAAAGAAAAGCAATGAAAAAATGTCATGATATGTTTCTCATTTCACATGTTTTCAACAGTTTACAATATGCAAATTAGACACATCACGTTTTACTACTTCATATTACTAATATATTTGTGTGTTAAAGGTTTATTTCTCACCTACTACAGGTAACCCCTTTTATATTCTAATGGTGTGTGGACTGAAATCACAAATTCTCCTTTTCCCATGAGCTCTTTCCGGTAATCTCTGCCATATAGAGCAATGTGCACTATGAATTTTAAAAGGAAACATATTGCAAACTGTTTCGTTTATACCACCAGTAAATTACTTTCCCCAATGTCTTCCACTATTTATTTATAGCGAAGCACAGTTTAAGATCCTCCTGAGGTTAGGAATCAACGTGTATCTGCACAATAACTTAATATTAGGGAAATCACTGCAGGCTGTAGCACATTTATAATGCAGCAGCAGGAAATGTAATCCGAACGGCAGCTGCTCCACTGGGGCACGGCTCGGTAATTGGTTACTGGACTTAGCTTAGGCTGCCTGATAGAAGTTGGGTGTTTTGCTGAGACTACGGACAGAGTCTCTTAGGGATCCCAATTAAAGAGCAGAATGCACAATATCAGCCATGTGAGAGCCAACAAACAAGTGGTCAGTGGTGTGGAAGTAGTCCGTGTCAAGTCTGCGGAGAAACAGCTGTATACAGTGAATTTGTGTACTCTCTGAAATCTGCACAACTTTTCACATAATATGACAGTTTAGCTTGAAGTTAATATAAACAATAAAAACCTCACTGATTCTTTAAAAATGGCATGAAAATGCTTGACCATAGATTCAGCACCATGGACAGCGCCTGTTTCAATTATGCCTTTTATTGATCCACAAGGGAAATTACTTGGACACAGTAGCTCACACATCACATTATATTACAGTAACACAGAGTAAAAATTGATCATTTGACTGAGCATTTATTAAGGTTAAGGTACACTTCATTGTCCCCAGGGGGAAATATTTCCTCTTCATTTGACTGATCCATCAATGTCGCTGGGGAAACTAGTCAGGAGCAAAGACCGACCGCAATGCAGTGCCCAGGGACATCTCCAGATCTTGGTCAGAACTTCAGTAGCCTTCAGCCATTGGCCTCTTTAGCAACTTGTAGAGAAATTGTCACTGTTGCACTTTACCTACTGAACTATACCTAACTTACCTTGAAATAGCTTAGTTATAGTTTATTTATTTATTTGTTTATTTATTTATTTTCCAAGCACCTATTCTTTACTTGTTATATTTTTCAATTCATTCTTATATTATTCTTTCTTGTTGTTGATTAAAATTAAGCTAAATAAGGAATTCCAAACCATGGCTGTTTGGGATAAACCAGGTCAATTTAGGGTAAGGCTCAGATTCATACATTTGTAATGGGCACTAACTTATTTAGCTATTTGAAATAACTCATTTCTGTAATCTGAACATTTGTCTTCACCACAAATCCTGTCAATTCCTTAGTTTTCAGCTTGTAACTCAACAACTCTGAGGAAACAAATTGCCTTTAATTTCATTTTACTTGGTTGGCATGTAATACCTAATGTACTTACATTGATGGGGCATGTGGTGTGTGAGCCAGTACTCTGAATATGAAGTGCATTACATGCGCGAGAGGGTCATACCATGGGCTTTGTTGGTGAACAGTTGCTGTCCATGGTGCTGAATCTATGGTCAAGAATCTTTCCACATTTTGGATCATTGAGGTTTTTATGTTCTTTATATTAGGTAATTTTCAAACCTCATATGTCAAAGTGGCTGTGATGAGCAGATTTCAGAGAGCACAGAAATACACTGTAACCACATATTTCTCAAGGTTTTTAGGACAATACAAAAATAAAGCTAAGATTAAAGCCGCGCGCGGCGATGGTGGCCCTCGCCCCGGCGCGCACCGCCCCCCCACGCGACCGCCGGGGACTCGCGACCGCCCCTGCACGCCACCCTCTCTTCCCGACAGCTCCCGAGGCTGACAGCTCGTCCACCAGAAAAATTACACAGTGTACCTTTAAATGTTTCACAGGAGTCATTGCGCCCCTATTGGCCAACAGTGGAAAATGCACCATGTCCATAATAGACTTTCTGACTTGTAATCATGCATAGAATTTTAATTCCCAAATTTGGTACAAATCCAATAATGTTGACGGGTCATGTCTATGGTAGGGGGCGCTATAGAGTTAACATTTCATATGTTTTATAGTGTATTATATTCAGGCTGAGATCACACATTATTGATTCAAATTTCATCACGATCTGATTAAACATGGGCATATAATAATTTTTTTACTATTTCTGTGGGGATTCTTTGCGCCCCTACTGGCAAACCTTGAAAAATGCATCATGTCCGTAATAGACTTTTGTGCTTGCATTCATACATAGAATTTAATCCCCAAATTTGGTACAAATTCGATAATGTTGAAATTTCATGTCTATGGTAGGGGGAGCTATAGAGTTCATTTTTCATATGTTTTATAGTGTATTATATTCAGGCCGTGATCAGGCATTAGTGATTCAAATTTCAGCACGATCGGACTAAGCCTGTGTGTGTAATAATTTTTTAACTATTTTTTGGGGGAGTCTTTGCGCCCCTGCTGGCCAATAGTGGAAAATGCATCATGTCCGTAATAAACTTTTTTGCTTGTAATCATACATAGAATTTATGTCCCAAATTTGGTACTAATCCGATAATGTTGACGTTTCACGTCTATGCTAGGGGGCGCTATAGAGTTCACTTTTATTAAATTTCATATTTCATCACATTCAGGCCTGGATCACGCAATTGTGATTTGAATTTGAGTTCTCTAGGCCAATGCCTGTGGCCGTGACAGGTCACCGAAAAAACAGGAAATGAAGGCGTTATTCGCCGGCGTGCTACGGGCGAACCGTAAGGAGTATCCCAAAAACATGGAAGATTTGAGTGAAGCTATGTCTGTAGATGTGACATGTCAAATCTGAACTCATTTGGACCATTCCCTCCGTTACCGACATGAGTTTTAAAATTTTTTGTCAACAACTTGAAAGAATATCACAGGTTTAACTTTACCCTGTTGGAGTGTTAACTCTTTCCTACATTCTGATACTTTTACTTATTTCAATAGTCCCTCTAGTTTCTGAATGAGAACTATTTGAATGTCAAAAATCTACCCGTTTCCCTCCGTTACCGCTTGACCGGACCCCAGTGTATCGGCAGTAACCGATCTATCCGAACTATTTAATGTCAACAAACATCGTTAGTCGTTAATGATTCATTTATGTTTAGGTAAACCACAAACAACAATTTAGCTTTGTAACAAACCTTTGACGAAGTGTTCACTGCAGACACGAGCATTTGCGGATTCTGCTCCTCCCGACCGCAAACGTAGGTTTGTAATAGAGCCCGACCGATATATCGGTTGGCCGATATTATCGGCTGATATGGGCAACTTTGGGCATATCGGCTATCGGCCGATATGCTTGCTGATAGGGGCCGATATTTCACATGGGCATGTTATACCTCGTTATAAAGCTGAGACTCTCTACATTCTGTTCATTTAATCCAATTTACAGACAGATAAATGTCCTAATATGTGGCTCCACATCAGTATTTATCTACGGAGTCATTTGTCTGTGTGTGTGTCTGTACTGTCCCTGAACACACCACAGAGTCGTCACTCACATGTGTTTGTTTACACCTGCAGACACAGATCCAAACACTGAGATTATATTCTTTTTACGGACAATCGGTTTGAGTCTGGATTAAAAGGACATTTATTAGTGCAGAATTGTGATGTGAGGAGGAGTCTGTATGAGCGGTGAGTGTTGGAAATATGTCGACTCTGAAGCTAGTTTTTGTCATTTGTTATGGGTTAGCTGCTGTAGCTCCCGCACATAAACAGACTGTTTTCTATTGGTCTGTTCTAAAGTGACTATATTGGCCATATATTTGCTACTGGACCTGCACTGATATGTAAATGAGCTGTGAACAGACGTGTGAATTATGACATTTGCGCATATAATTAATTACCGCGGCGCGCACGTATTTACGGCTAAAGGCTAATAGCGCTACTTTCTTTACTAGTTAGCGAACGAAATGACTCTTAGAACCGGCTCTCTAAAGGGAACAACGGGAGCCTGATCCTTATTGGGAGCCGTGTTTTCTCTTTCTCTCACTTTTTTTCTCTTCACGCCGCGTGATTCGTGGTTTGACAGCGGCAGCGGCTAAAAACGAAACTTTGAGAAATTTGCGTGTACGTAGGATTAAAGAAAATAAAAATTTAAAAAAACGAGCATATTTGACTGTAGTTTAGCATAAAATAAATAAGTCCCGGTTTAGTCCTTTTTCAGTCCTGGTTTAGACCTGGTTCAGTCCTGATTCAGTCCTGATTCAGTCCTGCTTGCAACAAAACAATCTGAAGAGCCACTTGGGAGCCAAAAGAACCAGCAGCTTTTAGTGAGCCGAGCCAAAAGAGCCGGTTCTCTAAAAAGAACTGGAATACCCATCACTAGTGTCTAGAATGTGATGCAAAAATGCCATTAAGCCAACCTACTGTCTGTAAATATGATGTAAAGGCCTCACGCAATTGTGATTTGAATTTGAGCTCTCTAGGACAATGCCTGTGGCCGTGACAGGTCACCGAAAAAACAGGAAATGAAGGCGTTATTCGCCGGCGTGCTACGGGCGAACCGTAAGGAGTATCCCAAAAAAATTTGGCAACTTCTGTGAGTTCATGTCTGTAGATGTGTCATGTCAAATCTGAGCTCATTTGGACCAAACACCGAGGACTTTAATCTTTTTGTAGACCCCTAAGTCAAAACGGCGGCGAATGTTTGATCCAATATGGCCGACTTCCTGTTCGTCATAGGGTCATGCTCCAATTCATCTTTTGGCTTGTCTCATTGTTCTCTATCACTGTTCCGAATTTCGTTTCCCTGCGACAAACTTTGCCTGTCCCCACTCCCATAGGGGTCCAATTCTAGGTGGCGCTGTTGAGTCGGGTCACTCGGGTCATTGTTGCGATGCCCATTTTATCGAATTTTTCGCCGGGCCGATCGATCTGGTGTCCCCACTCCCATAGGGGTCCAATTCTAGGTGGCGCTGTTGAGTCGGGTCACTCGGGTCATTGTTGCGATGCCCATTTTATCGAATTTTTCGCCGGGCCGATCGATCGGACCCCGGTTTGGGGACTTTTCATCCATGTTCAGGGGGTCAAAAATGCGATTCAATGTGGGGAAAAAAAATAAATAAATAAGAAACCGACGAAGAACAATACCCCTCGCCCTGGCGAGGGCCAAAGATGATGTGGGTGTTTTTTTGTTTTTTTTTTTGTGTTTTTTTGTTGTTGTTTTTCTTTCTTAGTTTAGTTTTTTAGTTTGTTTTTTTGTTGTTTGGTTTGTTTTGTTTTTATTTTGTTTTTTGGTCAAGGATGAAGACTGACACACCCAGATGCAGTAGGGTCTAGTTAGTACAATGAGATAGAAAACTCAGCAATTACTTAGGCCATTGTGCTATGAGACCAGATGCTATTTTTTGCTAAAACAAAGATTTATTAAAGGTGTACTATATTAGTTTTCTGGGGGAGGGCCCACAATCTGATCATCTCAGGCAAATATTATAGCTTTGCCTGGAACGTTTTACTGTATACTATACACTTAATTATATTTCATGTAAGTTTTATGTTATTTTGTGGAACATTCCAGAAAATCTCCATAAAAAATGCAAAATTCTTAACCTTCCACCTAAAAACCTACATTGTGTTCCTTAAAAAAATCGTAGTCTGTGTTTTAAGCACGGCAACAGTTACTATGATACAGTGAAATATAACCCCTAGAACCTGCCTGTTGTAACCGAACACTACACATGCTGCTTATATCTGGTGTCAGACGCAGCTTGATTTTCATACCTCTAACTGTGAACATGAAATATTATCGCATCAACAATCAATTAGGGATTATAAGCAGTTGTGATTGCCTGCTCAATATGCTCACTTACATCCTGATTGTTACCAGAGAATGACAATGAATATTCATTGTAACTTGAAGATATAGTTACCACACCTCTGATGCGAGGGACTTTATGTTGTGCTCCATTGGTACTTTTCAGCTTTCGGGCTAAAGGAATACGGCTGTTTCAGAGAAGGCATATAAAAGTAAGTGCGTGTTATAATTCTGATTTTCAGTCAGCAATGCTATGACTTTTTGCAATAATAATGGTAAGAAATGTAGGGATAGAGACAAGTATTTTTTATCTAAGGGTGTGTAGCCTGTATATACAACTGTGTAGAAAATACACTGAAATGTTCACAAATAAGTATGCCTATGTTTATTTCAATTTGCATAATCATTTTGTATGTGATCTTTCTTTTAGACGTTTAACATAATTCAGATGTGTCTGTCCTTATTACCATGAACAGTCTGTGAGTAAACGCATAGTTACAAAGAGTTCTCAGTTTTCAGTTCTAATGATGTTATTGAACCTGATTATTGACTTGTATGTCCACATTGCAGGCCTCACACAGATTATCACCATAGTAACATTTTACCTGGAAGGAAAAGCAACCTTCGGCTCAATGACCAGATGTAGGTATAAAGCTGTAGCTGTCACTGTTGTCTGAAGACAGTATTTTACATTGTTTAAAGATACACTGTGCAAATGATGTGGTGCTGTGTCCACCACAAGCTTGTCTCATTGAGATGTTATTACTTTATGTGATATGATTTGCAAGGCATAAAACTTATTTATCTCTATGGAGACAAGCAGGTGATGCAACCAGGTCATGTTACAGGTCAGATTTGTGGAGAGGCGAGCCCGCTCATAGTTAGAATGCAGGTCTGTTCACCACTGGCTTCTACCTAAACCACAGTGCTGCCCTTGGATCTATCACATACAAGCACTTTAACTGGAGCCTAACAACATAGATTCTCCAGAGTTTATGAACTAACAAAAACAGTGAGAATTCATAATGCTGACAAAGCTACTACTGTCTAACATTCATTCATTCCAAAACAGTAACATCTACAGCATATGGAGACAATAAATTAATTGACCCCCATCAAAAAAGTGTCCAAGTGCACCTTTAACATCTGTTCTTAATTTTTTAGCATCCCCAAGCCAACAGATATCAACATGGGGTGAGTATTAGTTATGTTAATGTTATTATATGTAATGTTGTCATTTAATAAACTTCAGTAGTGCTACTAATATTATACATTTATTAAAGAGAGAAAATCCTAAAGGTACCAACTCCAAAAGAACATCCATATGCATCACACATCCCCCGGTATTCACTGTTCCCCTCTTATGGCTCTTCTGCTGGTTCTATTAAAGAAGAGCAACGTGACATCCACTCCACTGTGCCAAACAGTGCACCAGATGTGACACTACTGAGCAAGACTAAAGGTGAGAGGAAATTTACTACGATAATTACCCAACTTGTACAGGGCAAAAAGCAATCATGCAGGCCTAATTTTTATAACATGTAACTCTACTCAGGTAATGCATACAGACATGAGTTATTAAAGCCCCCATCCAAAAAAGCAGTTACATGGGCTGAAGAGGATACTGGCTTCTTTGAGGTACAGTTTGCAATCATTTTCTGAGCATTATTTTGTTACATTTTTACTGTTAATCTAGATAGTGTCTATTGTCTGCAGTACCCAAAGCCTATCAAAGGTGAAAGCCAGGTCTTCTACCCGACACCAACTAAACTCATGAACCCAAAACCAAAACATGATCTGCTGCCGATAACTGACAAAACAAGCAAGATACTGACAAATCTGGAGCAGACACACTGGCTCACCTCCTACCAGATGCACTACTCAGGTAATTATAACATCTTCAATTTGGGATCAACTATGATTTAACTGAACCTAGAAAGACATCACAATATAGAGTATTGATTTTTTTTTTTATTACCTTGGATAAACTGTATTATTATGCTAATCTAAAACATGAACCTAGGTGAAGTGACAAAAGCAATAAAGTAGACATAATGTACTGACTAAAGATGTGGTATGGTGTAAAGATTTTTACTACACTGGTGAATTGTCTTAAAGATGCACTATCTGTGTCTGCATATAGAGGATATCTTTGTTCAAAATAGGTCAGAACTATGGAGATAGGGCCTCATTTCCTAGTGAGCCAGTGTTGGAGATGTGTGGAGACACTTTTTAAAATATTCCATCCAGTCCTTGTATTTGCAGAGGTCGCTGGTGCTGGGTTAGTGCATGTCAATGGTCATAGTTATCCTTCCACTAAAAACAGTCTTACCCACTCCACAAAGCCCCTGAATGTAAATGTCAGTGTTGATAAAATAATATTTGAAATAAAACTAAGCTTGCATCACATGAATCGTCACATGTTGATGGACTATTTTCTCATATATCTGTCTCCCGATGCCAAGCTTTCTATCAGGAAGTACAACTCGCTGCTGCTGCTCAGACATAAATCCTTCAAATGCAAGGTTGGTTTTACTTCTAAAATTCTTCTAACGACACAGACATTTACATCTACAAACTGATGTTATAACTGTTTCGCTTCGGGGATTTGGTGGAGTGGGTAAGACTGTTTTTAGTGACAGGCTAACTATGGCCATTGACATGCACTAGCCTAGCACCAGCGACGTCTGCAAATACAAGGACTGGATGGAATATTTTTGTAGAAGTGTCTCCACACGTCTCCAACACTCTGGTTCACTGGGAAATGAGGCCCTATGTCCAAAATTTCGAACTGTCCCTTTAATGCATTGCCATGGAAACTTTCAGGCAAAACAATAAAATTTCCATGGAGACAAGACGGTGGCAGACCCTGCACCAGAAAAGTTGCACAGTACACCTTTAACTATTGCACATAAAACTGAATCTTGTTGCCCAGGTTATGAAAAAGGAAACTTGAAGATGGACTACAGACAAAAACACACCAGGCAAAGAAATTCATACACTGCTCCACAGGTACAGCACAACATTAAAGTAAAATATGTGGCACCTTTTGTTTTATTTCAGACGACATCACAATATTTCAGGCCTAAACGTCCGTAATGTATAACTGAAAAACAAGCAGGTGTAAGGATTTTCAATTATTTATTTAAACTATTTTTCTTTCTGTTTATCTCTCTTTTTCCAGGATTAACAGATAGGAAAATATCAAACAGAGATGATATCCAAAAGGAGTAGGCAGAAGAAAAAACTTATAAATGCCTACCTACTCTTACATAACAGACTAAAAAGTGATAGCTATTGACATTTTGTTTTTTCTTAACAAAACACAGGTTATGTCTCATCCTTATTAATGTGCAAATTGTTGGATATACAATATGTTATATATTATAGGCTAGTGCTGATGAAGGGCTTTCATTATGAAAAACTGCTGCAAATTCCAACAATAATATTATAAATTGTAGATTAATTTGTAGAACTAAAAAGTGAAAATACAAATATACTAAGAACTGTGTACGTGAAATCCCTCAGTCGTCTCCTTTGCTATGAGAATTGTATAGAAAAACTCCCACCTCCCTCCCAATCTGAAAGTGTGACCCTATTGCATTCGAACATCAGAAAATTGCTAAAATTAAGCTTCCTTTCTGTTTCTTTCAGAGGGTCAAACCCACTGACTTTCTGTCCTCTACACTTACGGATGACTCTAGTAGAATTAATGATGTAAGCACAGGAATGATAGGTCCCACTGCTCCTCTCCCAGCCACGTATCAACCACCACTCCACAGAGCTGCTTCGGCTGCTACATTGCCATGGAAACCCCAGGAGAGCTCCGTGAACTGTAACGAAGCACCAGAGTCAAATCAAAGGGGTCACAGTCTGCCAGAGCACAGCGGTGGCTTGGCACATGCTCACAGCAATGACCTGTCCCATGGAGCTTCACTCAGACAGCGCAGGGGGTTGGAGAGTGAAGAAAATGGCACCCAAACACACCCATGCAGACAAGAGACCAGTCACAACAGAGGCACTGAGAGACCTTTGCTAGATGGGAACCTAAATTTGAATAGTTTAAGTAAAGATGTTGGAAATCTTCACCCCAATGACGTAATGCGATTGAATTCTTGTGCATTCCCAAGACCTCCTGTCTTGCCTCGTATTCAGCCACTGTCTAGAGAACGTCTCAGAGAGCTCCAGGATTCCTACAGCAAGACTCAGGTCCATCACAGGTTTAACCACTCTATCCCACATACCCCAGTCAATCTGAGGGACAACATCTGCACAGGGAGGAGGCACAACTTCTATGGAGTCAATGCATTCTACCTTCATGGATAGTCATGTTGTTCACTTGTGGAGAAGAATTAATGAAGTCAGTATTACATTTTTATTTACTGGTATGTTGTTTTAAATGTGTTGATAAAAGTATTCAGACCATGATTTCAGTAGATGTGAATAAAGTTGTTTCTAGATGATGGGACACGTGCATGCTTTCTTTAGGATATATTTAGCTATAAATAATCTTTTGATTTGTCTGCAAAAAAGCTTTTTACAACACCATCAAGTTTCATCGTGTAGGTCTCGCTCTTCTCATGGTATTTCATGAAGAGGCCCTGTCATAAGGATTTGTGGATTACACATATTTTGATTTTGATAGGCCTACTATAAAAGAGATGTGGCCAATGCTGACAATTTATGTCAAAGATTTTACGGTTGGGTGCGCCCTCTAGAGGGAGAATTGAGACTTTTACTGCATTCTGTCTCATTTTGCTTTTAGGAAAGATTTAATACTAACTTTTAGACTTTTATTTTATTTATATTTGCAACTATTTGAGGTTTTGATGGGTAGAAGGGTAAACACAAAATTCCATGTAGGCTGATAGACACAACATACTGAGGCAATATTAAAGGGCTCATGTTACTTTCTGATCTATAGTAAATGTTATAATAATAATGTAATGTCTGTATGTAATAATGTTCTTTCCTACCTGGAGTTTTCTTTTGTTTCATTTGCACATTTAACATGAAAACCAAGCATATTTAGGCTGAGTTCTTATCTCAAACAAAAAACACTCATGTCATGTGCAAACTCCAATGTGTTTTCTAACTCCACATTCACTATAAGCATTTGGATGATTTTAGCTCTGGAACTGGCCATCTCTACTGAACTAAAGGTCAAAGATAGCTCTTCACTTGAAAACTACCACTACATGACAAAACAAGGTGGAGCAGAGCATTTTGAGCTTTGGAAATAGAGAGACTAATAAAGGATTAATTAAACATGTATGAATGAAACAAAACATAAATCCAGGGTCAGTGTACCATGGGTTCTTTTGAATTTCAATTAAGAATGAAAAATAATAAAATTTGAAAACAGTTTGTTATTTCATTATCCAGTTTAAAAAATAATAATAAAGTTTATTTCAAATAACACCTAATCAAACAGTCTCGGTGGCTATTTTAATTTTGATAGTTTATTCTCTCTGGTTTATTTTCTCTGCAAGTTCAATATCAGTTCAATATCAAAAATGCATATTGTGTGTGTGTGTGTGTTATTTGCAATAAACTTTAAATTAAAAATTAGATTATTATTTATTTATTCATTCTCCTTTAGGTATGTTTCTGAGGAGGTAACATAACATGTTTAAAGCTCACATGAGTCAATTTTAGGACAATTAAAACTGACACTCACTCAGTGCTTGCTTTGTTTCCGCCCACAGATGTTTATCTTGTTGTGTTGCACTAACCTTCAATTTCCCTCTGCGTGAAAGCAGAAGACGACTTGGCACGTAATCCGCGTCAGTCTGGAGGGCTTTTGTAAGATGCAGCAAAGGAGACCTTGAGCTGCAACATTTATCCTTGAGTGTCAAACAGATCCATTTACTCTCTCAGTGAAAAACGGAGAATACCTAAAAACTAAAATGATGAATGAAGTAAAGTTTTGGTTTTTTGCTATTTCAAGGCTCTTTCAAATAAACTATGAAAATACATGTAACAGAGAGTATAGTGCATTTCTTCTATGCCTGGTTTTAAATTGTGATACTGCTTTTTGTCCAGTAGAGGGCAGGATCTTCAAAGTAACAACAGTTGTCAATCGCTTGCCATAAATATTCTTAATGGTTTTACTCCCTGTTTTTCATGTAATTGATTCTTTAAAAACATTTCACAAAAAGAGGAGGAATTGATCACGTGTCAAAGCAGTTACATGTGAGTTTATAAATCACTCTAAAGGACGAAAACTCCCCAGAGATTTGTCATTAATATTCACAAGCGATGCACAACTATTACTCAATGCCCTTGCTTGGGGGGTCCTGTCCATGACGCCACGGAAAAAGATGCAGTCGATGATCTAAACCCGCCCCCTGTCATGACGTAACGCGCCCACCTAGAGTCTCATTGCCCTGCGCGTGCTGCCAGTGTCTAAGACCCGCCCCTCCTGGACAGCGGTGTGCAAAGTGGTGATTTAGACCTGCTTGGAGCGGGCTGCAGCGTGTGTGTGCTTGTCAGATTATGAAGAGGGGTGTAGTGTAAGACTTCCCAAAGTGTAAACTGTAATTCCCGAGAAGCCCAGAAAAGCTCGTGCTGAGACCTCAACACCATCACACCACCTGAAATCACACCATCTGCTGTCAAGGTGAGTGCGCTTTCCCCTTATTACAGTCTTCTTTTATGTGTTGCCATACGCAAACGTAAGAAAAATGCAAATTAGAAGCAAGGTTAGTTTCACTGCGATTTAAAAAGTAATATACGGTTGTTTGGTTATAATTGAAAAGTTTCATAGCTTGTAATGTAGCACGTTGAAACTATTTAGAAGTAATAAAGTAGTCTAATAATTACTAATCTCTCCTAAGTCATGTGCTTTAAAATGTAAATTGAAGAGCATGAATCCACCAGAGGACACTTGCATCTCGTCTCCATGGTAACTCTTGCTTTTTGTCTATTATAAGAAGTCTATTAGATAATTTAGCCTTCGTCCATCCAAACCTCTCCATGGTGGTACCCGCATTATGAGATGAGAGATGAGAGAAGAGGAGGAGAGTTGTCATTGTCCTGCACAGTGGACTGAGTAATATTATGCCTCTAGTATGAGTGTCTATCTCCTCTTATCCACTGAGTGCTTGTAGGTGCGATGACAAAGAGCGCACATTTTCATCCTGTCACTGTAAAGTAATGTGCATGGATTTCTCAATATACACTTTGACTGTGCATTAGACTAAGTGATGTTATAATTGTATTATTGGTCATTTATAAAAGGAAGTTAAGTTATTATGGCAATTTCAATCATCTAGAGTTAGCATCAGCACTATAATTTCTGTAATTTAGACTATTATACACTATCAAGGCTACTTTGTGTGTTGTGTCAACTGTTCATAAGTGCAGGCTTTCAGTGGTGTTTGGGTGGGTGGTGTTTGGTGAGGGATTTTGGAAATGAGAATCCATAAGCCCCATAGTGTTCCCCATCATGCGTCAAATACACTCCCAACTGTGTTTATAGTCAGATCCGAAATCCTGTGGTGGTCTTAATAGCAATGGTGATAATAGTCTATTATTTTCTTGTTCATGGTTCAATACCAAAATTCACATATTTAACCATATTATTCCACAAAGAACATATTGTAACAGAACGTATAGGGTAGCCTATATGGATCTCGCTATATGTCACAGAGTATAATCAATTTAAACAGTTAAGAAAATCAATAATTCAGTCCTTTGTTCATTACTGACCTTAATTTCCAATCAAACCTCTGTACTTTTATTGAACTGCTCTTAGCCACAACAGGAAACAAACCTGAACATAGGTTGTAAAACTGAAGTAGTAGACTGGGAGTACAGTCATGTTTTGGAACTTTAGAGTTGTAAAGTTAGTTTAGGAATAGAGCTTGTTAAAGTCAGGCATTGTTTATTTAACACTGACATTGCCCAGATGATTAGAACATGTTTTTGTCCTTCTACACCTCTCAATGACTCACAGTAGTTGGAGTTTTTCCCAAAAGAAGTGCACAGAACGAAGCATGATTGGAATGCAGAGGCAGCGGATATAAGAACATCTTTGTCCATTCACAACAGTCCCCTGTACAGACAGCCACACGGTAATTTTCATACTTCGATTGGGTGTGCACAATATTTAAATGATTAGCCCAGTAATCTGCCCCATTCCACTGTATTGCTGAGTTCTGCAATGGAGGTCTGGTTCTGCAGTTTTTCCAGGTCAACAATTTTCTACTGTATTGAGACTATAAGATTTAACAATGGACTGAATCATTTTGCTCCAGCAGCAAAGTCAGTTCAAGGATGTATGTGAATGCTCTATGTACATCAGCTACAAACCCAGGACTAAACAAATAGGACTTATGAAGAGTTTACTAAACCAAGAGCAAAATGAAGACCAAAAACATAGGACAAAAGCAGGACTGACAAAGACTGAAACTAGGGACCATAAGCCAAGTTTATGCACATGTTTGTCTAATTTTGTTCAAGTGTTACATTACTAAAATTTTTAACTCAATTTTTGATACTGAAGAATAGACTTGATCCAATTTTATTCAATTATGTGATTTTTTTTCTTAAATATTGATACTTGCTTAAATGAGAACCTAGTTTCAATATTTTGACAACACTATTTTGTTGCCACTCTGGATCACAATGCCTCTACAGTTAATTTTCTTCAGTGTCTATTGTCCTGTGTCTTGTGGCAGCTGTTACCTGTGTCTGTGTGCAAAGTGAGCAGCATGAATAATTCATAAGGCTTCATATGTAAATAGAAGTGTCACGCGACAGTGAAATGTTAGTGAGCTCCATCTGACCTCATGTGGTTTGCCTAAAGAGCCCCGCCCAGGTAGACTTAGCCCTACTTCAAGTCAAAGAAAAACTAGTACTAATACAGTATAGTAGGTAACAATAACCGAAAAAGTCTCACAGTTATATCATGGGCTGTCACAATATATCGAATCACAAGTTCCTTTGCTTAAATGCATGGTTTTATAGTAGCAACAGCTTAAAAACATTGGGAACTACATAGCCCATGATTCATTTCAGTGCAGAACACACGAAGAAATATGTTTCTTACTTGAATTCTTGGGAATATGACAGAAATAATTCACATCAAATCTTGTCAAAGTATTTTAAAAGCAAAAACGTGTCCCATCTGCAATTTTATCAGTCTCTACAAAATATCACAATAAATATCATACCGTGAGATGCGTATCGTGATAATATTGTACCGAGAGATTTGGATATCATTACATTCCTACAGTATAGATAACAACAGTAATGAAAATATTATTGAATAAGATATCAAATAAGATAAGTGGTACCAGTATACAGATTTGTTTACATTGCTCTGAATTGAACATTCCACAATATTGCACTAAATTTATCTAAAATGGATTAATTCAGTTACATGTGTTTATAATTTATCGCTGAAAATGAAATGAATTCACTCAGACTGTGAGTGGGTTCGACTCTCCGCAGATATGACCTGTAAATTGGCCTGGTTGCTTGTCCGAAGGAGATTGATTATCTCAGATTCTGCATCACAATTTAATGTGTTTAAAGTTACATTTTAATAACGCTTTAATGATGAGTTGTTGTACAGCTGTATAAAATATGAATGTAGATTTGCCCAAAGCACCACACATTTGAGTTTTGGCAAATACTCAATGCTCTCTTCCTGTAATGTCATTCTGATAGTAATTGTTCCTAATCTAAGTGGGCTGATTGTATCTCTGGCATCTCACAGCACAAGGCATTAGTACGATTTTATCTGTAATTAAAGCTGTGTAACTCCGCCAGACATCCCAACAAATGATGAGGATCCAGATAGCCTCAATGTGAAGAGAAAAAAACATCAAACCAAAGTCAAAATTTTCAGCCACTTGGATTGAATTATTTAACTATACGGATATTATCAACTCCTTAAGTAATTTAGGTAAACTATTATTCAGTTTGTCCAATTACTCCTTCTTTATTAATCTGCTTATTAAACAGGTTTGTTGGCAGCATAATTGCTCTTGTTCATCATAATTAATGGACTAATTGTATTTGATAAGCAATGAGAAATCCACATGCTTTCATTTATGTAGGAAGGGGACTTACATCCATTTGCAAAGCTTGGGTTTTGAAATGTTTTTTGAGGTCCTGTTGAACTCATTATCATATAATTGCAAGTCAAACAGAGATCATTTGCTGGTACATTGTCATTCTGCTACTGTTTTTTGCCAAGAGTAGAGTTTTAATATTTCAGCTTCTCTCGATAATGCTGAC